TTTTACTGGAGATCTTATCAACGCCAGTGGCTTTGTTGCTAGAAAGGCCATGTAAAAGATGGTAGACATTGCTAACAGTGACTGGCTGGAATGCACTGAATTCTGATTTAGTCTTTTCAATATATGTTTGAAAGTTCAAATTTGGAGTATCAATTTTGCTAGCTAGATCAGGGCCAATATTTGAAAAATAATTATTAAAGCCCTCCGCAATATCTTTGGTATTTGTCAAACTATTTTCACCTAATTTTAACTCATTTACTACTGTCGGTTTGCTTTGCCTACCTAGTATATCGTTTATAGTTTTCCAAGCCTCTTTAGGGTTGCATTTTTGATCAGAAATCTTAGTGGAGTAATATTTTTTTTTAGCATTTCTTAGCTGAATATTAACTTTGTTTCTCATTGTTTTGTAATTTAACCAGTCTATCTCTAGGTTTGTAATAATGGCCTTTCTTTTTAATCTGTCCCTTGTGATTATAAGTTGCTTTATAGCACTTGTAATCCAAGGAACTTTTTTTGTTCTAATCTTTTTATGTTGAAGTGGTGCATGGTTATCCAAGACCTCTAAAAATAATTTCTTCCAAATTTCCCACATAGCGTTGGGATCTTCAGCGAAGAAGTATACATTTTCCCAGGGTTGTTGCCTCAGATCCTCAACAAATTTTTGATCATCAAATTTTTTCATATTTCTTATCTCAACTTTCTTCTCTTGTTTTTTAACAACAGAAATTTTCCTTATTGCAAATACCATATTTTATATATATTTTATATCTTAGACTTTGCTCATGTAATTATTAGTTGTAGACCTGTAGTCTATAAAGACTAGTGAGTAGTGTAAATGAAATTTATAGAAATAGTTACACTCCGATATATTATATTGTAGTTTACATGTATATACTAACAGAGTTTAGAATTACAACAGCTGAGCCTGCTTCCTGGGATATTAAACGTATCATAAATATATGGTTAGCTGTTTCAAATCCATGTATTGTATACCTTACTTGTATTAAAATTCGCGTCGTATACTCATTTTCGTTCAGCTTTAAATTCGCGCATTCCAATTTCGCGAAACTTGTTCGCGCAGCTTTAAATTCGCGCAAGTAATTTTCCGTGTTGGTTCCTTTTGGTTTGATTAATAGAACTATAACAACAAATACTTCAATATTTGTCAAAACAAAATTCATGATAACAGTAAAGCCTGGTTCACATATGCCTGCGGCATACCTGCGACTGTATCATTATGCCTCTACTTGCCGCCGAAATACCGGCAAAGTTGAACCTTGAACTCAAGTCTCAAGTCAACTTTCCCGGCCTACCGCCGATGTAACTGTGGCACTGGAGGCAATCGGCGAACAAATGTTCACATAATTTACGTTTTAAAGCTACCATCGGCATCGTCGCCGGTACGTCGCAGGCATATATGTGAACCAGGCTTAAAGCGTATAAAGTTCAAACTTCAAAATGTATGGTTTTCATTTGCTTAATACAATAATAATAACTAATTTTATTAGCATCCCATATATTATAGGTTCCGAAGGTTCGTATATGGTATTGCCTTACATTATATTATTTACTAACAACGAGTGAATATTACACCGCAAAGCTTTTCGCGTGGATTATATTTCCTGCAGTACTAAAATTTGGGCACCCAGCTCTGCGCGAATTCCTGCAGTATTGCTCGAATTTTAGTACAAATAAACATATACAAATAAACATTTTTCCTAATTGCCGTTGTGCTGCTGTTTCAAGATGATCTACAAATAAACATTTTCCCTATAACTTGGAGATAATCTATATACAGTACAGAAAATATTTCAGTTTCCTGACTGCCATAAGTTGTCCTGCTGTTTCGGGATGATCTATATATGCTGCTGCTTAGCCAGATAAACATTGTCCCTAACTGTCGTTGGGCCGCTGTTTCAAGATGATGTACATTTGAAAACTTTCGAACTACTGTTATCTTACTTTTTCAAGATAATCTGTTGTTCGAAGTGGTATGTTGATGAATAAATTTTGTAACTTTTGTGCGTTTTTTTTCTTATTTTGGTGTGAAAAACAGCCACTTTTCTACAAATTTTAAATCTAATTTCGATGCTCAGAATGCAGGAAATGGTACTTGCGGGCTTCAAATTTCAAAAATTTTCTGGGGGGGCATGCCCCCAAACCCCCCTAGGTAGGGCGTGGCCTTCGGCCCCGCATGTTGATTTCATCCAAAATGCTACGGTCAGATTGAGACGCTGAATCCGCCCCTGCTCACCATATATCACCTAAACAGTTATTATATCGCGCCTTGTGCAGGCCTCGCTACCAATTATGGAGATTTTAATCTTGTAAACCTTGCGTTGTCGGTTTACATCATCGTTCAACGTTGTTCGTTCACTGTTCAAACATGACTTGTCAACGTCAATCGCAATTAATTAAGCAGGTCACATGTGGCAAGCGAAAGACATCTATCATATGATTTCTATGAATTACTGCATACTCGTATATTTCCAACGACTTCATGTGAAGTTAGTGAAGCTTATTTTTTAGTATTAAAGTAATTAAACCAAGTCTCGAAGCATTCCAAAACTTTTTCTTGCTTGCTGTATTTTAAGGTCTGTAAAGATTCGTAAGTAAATACTGCAAGTGCCGGCAAGCCGGGTGTATTTGCTGCGGGTTAGTTCTCAATGGTCATGTTGCGACGTGTCATACTGCCAAACATTTATAGTCACAGTCGACTAAATTTGTCCTGTCATGGGTATTTTATATTTCACATGTAGAAATTTTATTGAGGTAGCTCTGCTTAATTCAATTGTTTTATTTTACATGTAACTAAGGCCACATAAAAAAAATTACTTGTTTAGCGTCCACCCATTTTAATTTTTCTAGGTCGGGCGGACGGATTTTTTTTTTTTTTTTTTGTAAAATGCAACACAAAATTCTGCTAAATGCAGGAAATCCAGTATATTACCACAGCCAAAACTCACTTTAATTCTTTCAAAATCCGTTCATGTTTTTTAACTTCCCGTTCATGTTTTTAATAAAACAGAAAATTACCGTTTGGCGGTCACGCGCGAACACTTTAGCTGCGAACAGGCATATTCTGGGAAGGAAACTTTGTGTAAACGTATTACATAGCTCCCAAAAGAATAAAATCACCATTTTTTCAAGTAAAACGGTCTTTCTTATAGAGAGTTTTTCCACTAAACTCGGACAAATTAAAAAAAAAAAAAAATTGGAGGTCGGGGACTTTTATCAGGTCGGGCGGGGACGCTAAACAAGTAATTTTTTTTATGTGGCCTAACCTGATCTCGCTTGCGAATGCCGGAATTAACACCATGCATGCAAAATGCGCAAACCTTGCTGTAATGCTGATATAAACATCGTCATAACGCAGCCTACTGTCTGCCAACATAGCATAATGTAGAGTGAATGAATGTTCTTTACAAGTCCTCACCTTGTGCAGAAATGCCCGAGATACACAGCAACAACAGCAATACTTGCACGGCCAACAGCAGTGACATGATTGCACGCAACAACATTCAAGGTTAGTCCACTGTTGTTCAAGGTCAGATTGACATGATCAACTTCCAAAAAAAAGAGTAATTTAATCCACCATCATCTGCGTGTGTGGACACGTTTCTGTCCTCTGCAAGATTGCCTCTGGCACCTGACCTGTATTGTCTAACAAAATAATTACAGTTTGTAATAAACGCAACATTTTTCAAATTCAAATTAATGCTTTACAAAAATTCCATGTAGGCTGCCGTTTCAACACAAACCAAATTAACAAAAAATTCCAACGAATGGACATTTGCATTATAGACTAAATTTTGATCTAGACAAAAATTTCATCACAGTTTGAAAGAGCATCACAAATTTAGTAATATTCCAAAGTTTCGTTGCGAAATGTTGTAAAATGCGGATAATATAGCCTTGTGAAATTTGCAATTTTCAGTCATTTTGTATTACAAACGGAAAATTGATGCCCCAACAACCCGATTGGGCTGTTAATTTCCCGTGCGTAATACAAAATGACTGAAAACTTTGGAATATTACTAATTTTGTGATGCTCTTTCAAGCTGTGATGAAATTTTTGTCTAGATCAAAATTTAGTCTATAATGCAAATGGTCCATTATAGGCATATAGGATGGTTCAATCAGAGAGCGTCTCACCTATATAATCCAGATTACGCATTTCTCAATATACCCAGAGTAATTATCCAAGACTAAACCACAAGCTGAAATAGTTTATTCTATTGTTGGAACACTTTATTTCAACCATTTTATTCCAAACGCAGTTTTAATTATCAAAGGCCTCGATCTACTACAAAATATTTGTTTCCGAGGAATTATTAAAATTAACCAACTTCTGTAAGTGTCTTCAAGTGATATTTCGGAACAGAATCTAGTTCCTTCGATACCAATGTAATCTAGTAATATGATTTTTTCTGTGTTGATGTTGTGTACTCAGGTGAATATGATATTTGTGATGTTACTCTGAGTGTATATCCACACCGGGCGAGCTTGAAAAACATGCCCGGCACGGTGAAAATCGAACCTACGACCTTTGGAATACTAGCCCGCAATGCTCTTCCAACTGAGCTACGCGGTCAGGACGGTTCAAGTAAGTCATATTTCGGAACAGAATCTAGTTCCTTCGATACCAATGTAATCTAGTAATATGATTTTTCTGAGTACACAACATCAACACAGAAAAAATCATATTAGGCTACTAGATTACATTGGTATCGAAGGGACTAGATTCTGTTCCGAAATATCACTTACTCGAACCGTCCTGACCGCGTAGCTCAGTTGACAGAGCATTGGGCTAGTATTCCAAAGACCAAAGGTCGTAGGTTCGATTCCCACCGTGGCCGGGCATATTTTTTAAGCTCGCCCGGTGTGGATATACACTCAGAGTAACATCACAAATATCAAAATAATAATTATTAATATTATGCATGGTATATTTACAAATGATACTAGGCTAAGGCTAGAGATCTACTGGAAACATTCACGCCGGTGAATTTAGTCAGTTTATGTTCTAATTATTTACAGTATAAAGCTAAGCGTAAGATACTGAGAGAAATGTTTTAGAATACACAATTAATATGATATTTACAATGTTGAGGTAAGAAAAGAGATATAAAGAAGGTGCTAAGATTTTATATACATGCATCTTCAGTTTTGATAATGGCTTCCATGCAATATGCCGCACAGGGCATTCTTAAGAATTCGTCCGTGTGTGTGTGTGTGTGGGTGGGGGGATCTACAAAAAGGGACCATACTATACTGAGTGTGGAGAGATGACAAATGGTTGTTGACAACAAAAAGTTTGGTGTGTTATGGTATGTATAATATTAGGGGGGTCTGGGGGTTTTTCCCACCTCTAGGACTGCAATTCGTTCAATTTCGGTCAGTGTACCATTTTAGGGGTCAAAAATTTTTTCCGGACATATCAAAAGCCAAATATACACTATAAATTGTCTGAATCTCAGGATTTTCGTACAAAAAGCATTGTTGTAAATGTGATTTATCACGTAGTATTTTACAACTAAAAGGGCACTTCTGCCCCCCCTAGCAAAAGGCAAGGGGGCAGCCGCCCCCCCAGTTCCGGCGTCCCTGGATAGACTGAATCTTCAGCTAAGTACTTGCATGGCATGTTAATGTAAATACCACAACTCGGACACTCACGGGGTAGTAAGCTTGATAAATGGCACCATTTACAGAAATGCAAAGTTAGCAATACTTCACACTGCAACGTAATTATAGGCTACTGTAGTAAAAGGGTTTTAGATATTATATTATTTGGCATATTATATTATTATCATATATATTCTTTTCAGCATTGAAAGTACTCCATTTCCGTCTGAAGTTAACCTGGATCAGGCGGTTGTAGCGTCTAATTAGTGGTGCTCAATATCTGCTGCAGCTTTGCTACTTCACGATATTCCACATTGTCTGCTGTAGAGCTTCTGTTGTCCATGTGTCCGTCTGGATTGAAGGCGCTGTTCACTGTGGTGTAATGGTTTTGCACTGCAAGTGTGTTGTTATTTGGACCTACTGGTGTGACTGGAATACTTGATTTGCCATGACCTTCACTTGTTGATAATGTAGCACCTGCACAAAAATAACGCAATAATCATTTTCGATGTCTAATTAGGAAAGAGGTACACCGGTACACGTATCTTATAAAATATGTGTCTAAGAATACTAGAATAAGAGGCGTCTGTCTTCAAGTGAGGTTAACTTTACTTAGAAAAGCGTACTGTACATCTTAGCCTTAAGGAAGTGCTCATGGTAAAGTCTGTTATATAAAGAGTTGCTCATTAGAAATGTTTGTTATACGATGGTTGGACGACGTTTTGTCTGCTTCAGAAATATACGTAACGTCTCTATTAGAGAACGTCAACTCAGTTTCTGATAAAATGTTAATAAGAGACACAGAAAATGGAGCTAAAAGCAGTAAACCATTATATTATTAACAATATTATTTTCCTATTAACTATGCAATAAATGTATTTTTACTTACAGTCGTTACTGTGTACCATATTATTGGCATGATTGTGTCTGCCTTTCAGGCGTGCTTTCTTTTCTCTGCTGATTGCTTCACGCACCTTGAAGTTGAAAAGAGATTTAGTCCAGTGTAGGTAGTATTCTACAATATGGTACAAGCTGTGATCTGTGTCTGAACTACCTCAGAAAAAGATATCTCAAACGTGGTGGCCCAGTGTAGGTAGCATTCTATAATATCGTTAATATGGTGCAATCTGTGGTATGTGTCTGAACTACCTCAGAAAAAAAGATATCTCAAACGTGGCGGTCCAGTGTAGGCAGTATTATACATTAAGCTACTGTGGTCTGTGTCTGAACTACCTGAAAAAGATATTGCGAACGCTGAGGGTCAGTGTAGGTAGTAGTACTAGCTGTGGTGTTTTTTTTTGTCTGAACTATCTGAAAAGATATCTCAAAATGTATTTGTGCCGTGTAGGTAGTACACTACAATTAACTGTCTTGGTTTGTGTCTAAACTACCTTGAAAATATTTAAAAAGCAATTTGAGGTTTCTAAGAAAGGTTCTTCATCAGGAGGTCTCTTAACAGGCCTAAACCCAATGCTAAACATATACCTTTCTATCAACAAGAACATGAAAAACAAATATCATCACTCCTTGTAGAGAATTACAAATGGCAAAAAGATATTTAAAAACAATCGTATCTCGATTGAAAACTAGTAGTCCAAACACCCATGTCAATCCAAGTAATGGGAGTAGTACAGCTGAACCTTTGAGACCAACTTTTGCTTTTCTTAGTGCGGTAGCAGCTGTTGCCTTCGCAGTTCTGTTCACTAAGCTGGAGGATAATGCACTTCGTAAGGCCAGAATGAAGATCACTGAGTTGATCTGAAATGAAGGAAAGATAAAAATATCAACGATTTTGCACGAAGCGACTTGGATGATGACGCTTATTATAGATAGGAATGTTTCGAAGGTGCCCTGATTGTTAGGGTGGGTATGCTTGTTGTTTATAGAACTTTCAAAAATAATGATACCGCAGTTTCGAAATATTGTTGCGATTCTCTCCACACGTTTTCCCTATTTGTCCCCCATTTCAATAAAATATCACTTAAAGTATGAGAATTTAACCGTAACATGCGAAAATTTGTGGGGTTACTAGATTTAGTCAAAGGACAAAATGGTTAACTTTAGGTTCAATTTAGATGAAAATTGGACAAGAAATAAGCAAAAGTTTGCCTTGCTTTCTCTGGTAAATTGAAGATGGTATAATTTATGCATGATACAGTACGTGAGATAATTTATTGGTGGAGGTATGCAGTTTCTGAGTGCTCTCTAGCTGCTGTTGTTTTTTAATTATGTTTGAACTAAGCTTACTGTGAGGATAATGCCGATGGTAGCAGCAAACGTCCAGAATAACACTCCACCACCGCGGCACCAACATGCACGTTTTGTTATAAAATTATCTTGACCATTTGCTCCAATCAACACCGTCACAACTACAGCTGGAATACCTAAATAAAATTTTAATCAAATGTCCATTATTTCTTTCACGAAAAAACCTTTCACGCAACAAAAGGTTCCGTTATCCCAATTACTTACCCCAACCAATAACATAAAAATATTTCATATGTCGTCCTCCTAAACCCAAACCCGCGTAGACGCTCACAAGTTGAAGGTAAATAACAATTCCTTCACATAACATCCAGCCAAACACCACAAGTATAAAGAAATATAGTAATATGGATACTGATTTACAAAATATCTAGAAAAAAAAAAAATATTGTGTTTAACCACAGGTTTCAGGTTTTGTGATTTAATCTTGCATTTATAGTCGCCTTGTTGTGTTAGGATAAACTAGGATGTACCAAAGATAAATTGTTTGCCCAAAATAGGAAATAAGGTAAGGCAAATTAAATGTTTCTTAATTTGGGCTTGCCCTGGGCTTTACCTCATTATTTTGTGCGGGTCCAGCCAAGATAGCAAGAATATCGGTCATTCCAATGGCTACACAAAGATGCATAAGCACTTGGGAAGGCACTTTTCTCTTTTCATTCTGATGAAGTCTTTTGCACAATAAAGCATGTGTGAGAATGGTCAGAAATATCCCAAACAGGGATATAGAACAGCCAATGGTAGATATCAACTCCAATGCTTGCCTTTCAGATCTGCTGACCTTTAAGAAGTAAATATGGTATGGAATTGTACAAAGTAAATAAACTGTTGGGGTTTTGGTCGGGATCATCAGAAAGGAACTACAGTAGTTAAAATCTTTGAATGTAGCTACAGACTGGAAAAAGTAGGTAGACATTACAAAGAATCTGGAAATTCCAACGTTAAAATCTTACCAGATCTCTTGAAATGTCCATACCAGCAAAAGCTGTGAGATGGTCACATTCACATATTAAGCGGTTACTGTCTGACTCGTCCTTCACCCTTACACATCCATCTGTTTTCCACTCATTTTCATTCCATTCCGGTTTCCAGTACACACATGTGTCTGAGTCGTTCTGAAGTTCAAGAAATAATTCATATTTCAAGTTGTTTCAGAAAATTATCTGTATGCATGGTATTACAACTGTATGGTATTGAATCATATTCTAAGTGCTACCTAATCAATATCTTTAAGTCTTAAAGTAAATTGAATTACCAATTCTGTTGTGTTCCAGCTGATGCGAACAGGTATTGAAAACTTAACTCTTGGCGTAGGTTGAACGCTTGCAGTGATAATCTCGCTCTTTACTTCTGCATAAATATTATCACCATAAAAACTGTTTCTTAGAAAAGATTGTATTGTCTTATACCACATAACAACGACCACAGCACCAGATTCTTGCGGTAATGCATCAGGCGAGAGGTTGAACGATGCGTCAGGAAACTGGAATAATCTATCTTTCATTGACAAATTACCAGCTTGTTTTATATATTTAACATGTAGCTGTACGTTTGAATAAGTTGAATAGCTTTGAAATGCAGAACTAGCCGAAGCTTTTGGGTTGTTTTTTAAGTTTTCTCCATATTGGAATCCATATTTCTCTAGGGTTAGCACCAAATCACGAATCAATTTGTCGTTCTAGAAAAGAAAGGAATGGGCAAGCTAAGGGTTTTGTTCTTCATTTGGATAGTAGATACGATTAGCGTACAGGCTTCAGTTATTGCTCAGTTGAGCTCGCTATTGCAGGCAGAGGGTTGAGTACGCCACTTGATGAAGTGATTGATTACCATGCATGCACCTGTTTGATGAAGTGGGTGCATGCATGCACCTGTTTGATGTGCTTGAAAACCAAGAAACAGGAGTCTCTGGATATTACAGTGTAGTATAATGCAAAAACCCTAGGAAGCCACCTTAAGCTCCATATTACCATTTAAGAGCTGGCTAATTTAAGAAATTGATAAGCTTTCACGTGCAACAATATCAAATTTAGAAGTATCTAATGGAGAAAAATCTTGAAGTCAGACTCGGAAATTGGCTGTTTTAGAAGTGTTTACAAGCAAGCAAGAATAACATACATGCATAATTGAAGCAAACATGCAGATAATTACCAAACTGTCAAAGCTGGTTCACCGCGGCTATTTATAATTCAATTGAAATATATTCAAGCTTCTTGCAGTTAAAAATATTGCGAAATTGAGGCGATATTGGCCTGCTCCCGGTATAATATTTGCGTTCAAACCTATACTCATTTAGTTAGAGTTGGTTCTTTCCTGTGCTCGAGCGTTTCTCTCTGGGTTCTTTGATTCTCCTCCCTCATGAACATATACATATTTATTTATTTTACATCTCCTTGCGAAGCTATAATCTTTGAAACTATAAATCTCACCAAAAACTAATCTTTCTACCTTTGTGGCTGCTATAGAAGCACCTTGGTAAGCTTTTGACTCAGACCAACTCTGCGTCTTTTACATTTCAGCCCTGGGGCAAATATGGAAGATTAACATAATTTACCATTCACTTATATAACACTGCATTTCTATATCAATAACTCACCGTCATGTTTCTCCACGATTTTGTATTTCTACTATCCAGAATATTGTTTGCTGGACCTAGTATGTTAAGACTACCATAAGAAATATTTGAATGAATGATTTTTTGAAGTATTCTGACTGTATCATTAAGGTCTTGTTGCTTCATTCCGTTTCCTCGTTCTTCTTCATTCATCTTGTCAAGGTTTGTAAAATTTAACAGTTGGTCGATTATCTTCTGTGCGGCTTTTTCTCGCTCCGATATATTCTTTATACGATCAAGCTCATTGACCTGAAAATGAAATTAAGAACTGATATAAAATTGAGATTCGGCCTTACCGGTTTTGCTTAAGCGAAAATATAGCAACAAAACCTGCGACAAAATTTGATTTCAACCTGGCGTGAACATTCCTTCTTAATATAAACTCTCTTTGTTGCTGGATTTATTTCACTTTTAATTCCGCATTTAATTCAGACAGGGTTAGATTTTTGTGATTTCTAAGAAATCAAATCGACCAATACCGCTCGGATTTAAAGATCTGTGATGACAGAATAAAATGAATAATGTTTGTTTATCATCTTGCCTCTTTCTCTAGTCTGCTAAGCATGCCATCGTTAGTTTTGTTTACTGCATCAACGACATTCGGAGTTGAACCTAAAATAGATATAAATTTAATATTAGATAAAGTAAGCAAGAATAATAGGATTCAATTATTATTTAAGTACTGTTTTTAGCTTTTTGAGTATGACTGTTCGTTTTCCACTCTAAGGGCCTAAAAATAATACCCGTGGTTCCGGTTAATATTTTTTTCATGGTTTGGGTTTTTTTGCTGGGCGATTTGCAGGAGAGTCCCGACATCGATAAACTAGAGATGCGTATTTCCTATGGACGAATTTAGGCAATTTGGTTCAATAATTAGTGTGAAAACAAACGCCATTTTGGCACGCTGTATGAGCAGCCCGCAACCAGCCAGAGAAAATAGGGTCGCACGGTCAATCGCGTTGAAAAAAAATAATAGGGTCGGCAGAAAAAAATAAGGTCGGTCGGGAACCGGAACCACAGGTATTTTTTTTAGGCCTAGGAGTAAGTCACAACGATCAGAAATAGGATTGAGGTTAGAAATGGAACTATGTAGATACTATGTAGATTGAAATTGTGCTTGAATTGAGAAAATGTTATTTCGTCCATTGTAGTAGCCGCACTGTAGCTTGTGTTTAGTTTAACGCATTTCAGGGTGTTTCTCAAATGTCGGATAATTCATGCCAGGTTAGTATAACATTTTGATTAAATGTAAAGCCATATTTGCACTACAAGCCAGGTTTTTGCTTCACTGAATGCTGCATGGACTATAATTTAACCAGCGTTAGTGAAACCAGGTTTGTATGAGTTGTATATGTAACGTAGTTTAACATCTAAATGATCTAATTTTACAGACTTGATGAGTGGGTACACATAACTTACTATTGAGTGGTGGGAGGCTGAGGATGCAACCCGTTGTATTTGGTGAACGAGTATCATTCCAGCGTTCAAATCGACTTGGACCGTTTTTACATAGAAACTGCGGTAATTGATACACGTAAAATGCATCGCAGTGTGTGATATTTATTGCACGTCCAAAGTTTTTACCAATCCCTCTGAAACAAACTGTGGAATTTAAAGTGTCGTACTCACGACATGGATGCAAAGGAGCTTTATGTGGGCAGCGTGTGTTTTTTGATGAATTAAGAATACCATTGTCACTTAAGAACTTGTGCGGTAAGTCTAAAACCTCATTCAGACTATATTGAAATCTATACCAGCCATTTTTCGGCCGCAGAGTCCCGCTACATAATGAAGTAGGAAGTGTTGTTTGAATTTTCTGATAGTTATACCATGGTTTCTCCTCCAGTTCAGTGTAGTTAAAACACTGCATTGGTATTTGCGCTAGCTGAGATGACATTGTCTTCTTTTCCATAAGTAGTATAGTCATGATGACCAGTAAAAGTCGTTTTATTGCAGCCATTTAATAATTTTTTGTTGGTTATGATGAATGATGGTTTGACGTTTTTGTTCGAATGGCGTTATCGTTTCTCAAAGTTTTCTTTTCTGATTCTTGATTCTTTCAATTAGTTGCTGCTGGGTTTTTTTGTTATCCTTGGCGTTGATTCTAATCTTAATGTGTCCTGAAATTTCAGAGTCCAAAGTAATTCGTTTAATGACAGTTTCAGTTGAATTCAGTTGTTGATTTATCACTAAATTCTTCCCATCTAGCTGACTTGATGAACTATATATCTCTACATTAAACAGTTCCGTAAAAAACGTTGTTTTCGAATATAGCAATGTATGTTGAGTCTTTGAAATGTGAACCGTGCTGCAGAAACGACGAGTGACCGCTTGGCAATGTCAAAGGCGGTATTTGAATCTGGAGAACAACAATTCACTTGCTGAGAGATTTCACCTTATACTGGTATACAGTATTCTGACTGAACAATTGATCTTTATATATAAGATGTGACAACAAGTCACGCACACGTTGATAAGGTAGGCCAAATTTTTATAACCACGCAAACGTGACATGTAAGTGTATTTGTTTCAACATGACACACCTTCAAATACGTGGCCAACAAAGAGAACCCGGCAGGCAGGGTAGACGCGCAAATACTTGCCAGGAATAACGTCTCCTGATTGGTCTACTTTCGTGACCACACCGCCTGATTGACGGGGTTCCCTTTGTTGCCCACGCATTTGAAGGTGTGTCATGTTGAAACAGTACACCTACATGTCACGTTTGCGTGGTAAAAATCGGCCTTCATCTAATTTAATTGGTAATTGTTTGTTTTACATTTCCTATAAACTTCATAGCCGGAAAAACTGCTGTGTATAATTGTTCTGTTGTATAGAAGACATCACGTCTTTTTACGTATTTAATTATAGTGAAGCTTTCCGTCCCTATTCGACCTGTATTTTGATGCATATACTGTATCTTAATTTACTTTAATAATGAACTGTAATGTATTTTAATGTACTGCAGCAGTGTTAGCTGTACTGTGATGTACTGTCGTGTAGTCTAATTTAAAACGCAACTAGCATTTGCTATAAATGCTAAATGTTGTAATTGACATTGACTTATTGATAACACTTGACAATCCAAACACGTGAATATACTTGGTCCAATATATGAAGTGGCTTTGGTATCGAGACTTCCTTGCCTTCAACATAATTATGTGTAGCCAGTATTTTTATAGCAATAATTGTTTTCGACATTTAAATATCAGAAATGTTACCAACTGAACAAAGCTTTAATTATGTGCCAATTTTTTAACTACTTCCCAGAACAGAAGGAATATTTATATCTAAACGAATGCAAAATATGTTATTTTAAAGGTGGCCTAGTTTTGAAATGGCTTCGCTGAACTTGAAAGATGTGTTTTGCACTTCACTTGGTTGAACCAGAATGCTGGCTTTGGTGGATAATTCAAATGAGACCATATACAGTTTGTCGCTCTTTGTGTCGTTATCTCTGATCTACAGCTATATTTAACACAGTTCATGCCAAGTTTAAGGAAATCATGTCTATTCACCAACACTCCATCTCTGTCTTCCATACCTGTAGATTTTATTCAGTTTGTGGAGGTAGCCAATCTTCAAATGGAGCTGTAGGCTCATGCCACATTCTCGTACCCAGAGCCAGTCTGAGAAGCGGTCAACAGAGCATGACGAGGGTTGAGGAGTACGAGAATGGGTTGCGCTGCTACAGATCAAAATTTGGCCTCTCAACGAGAACAAAATGCCAAGTGTGCCGCTAGATAACTAGCTCCAAATGATTTTTGGAGTTAGCAACAACACAACAATTAACTTCAGGCTTACATACCTAGCGCCTAGGCTGGCTCCGTGGCTCCCCTCGATACACGTATTCTTTGGAGTTAGGCAGTTGGCCTGTAACTCAAGCCTTAGATACCTGGCTCCTATACATGATTTTTGGAGTTATACCTAGCTCCAAATGATTTTTGGAGTTAGCCAGTAACTCCACAATTCATATTTCAACTCAGTTTTGAATTACACAAGTTACTTAAGTGTATATTTTGGTTTGGAGTTAGTTCTTTAGACTTTGGAGGTAGCGTCGCTCAATTACTTCCTACTTTCCGCAGGCATTCTGTCTTCCTCTTACGGCTTCATTCGACGCGGTTCTCCATCCTAATCAAATGTGATCTCATTCTTGCTTTCTCTACTTTATTCACTTTCGCGGGATCTACAGTGCAGGAAGTGAGGAAATGAATGGTCATTCATGCTGATTAAAGTCACGTACAGGAATGACGCATTGAATGAGTATATTAGAGCTGGCGTAGTCGTGCGAGCAAGTGTCTTTCATCTCTAGTTCGTGCCTTCAGTTCTTGTGTGAAAAGAGTCAGTCAAGGTCGAAAGTCGTGGGTTTTCTCCGGGCGCTCAGGTTTCCTCCCACATGGAAAGTTGACAGGGTGGGTTAGAATAAACACAGTTAAGAAAGTAATATCACAATTGTTCCAAAGTTAAAATAGTCTTCCGATCTATGTAATAATTAGGTAAGTGTATACAGCTAATTCAAAAAAAAGGTTGTCCTTTGCAAATCTAAACCATAAACCTTAAACTCTAAGCGTGCAAAGCATAATGGGAGCATCATTTAATTAGTTTAGAAATCATATTCATAGCCCACTTCTTAGAGACATGGTAAATAACTCCTTACGAGATAAATTCATTCACAAACAGCCGCAATACCCAACCATTAAGCTTTGCGCGCTCACAGTTCAAGGTTGAGAGTTTAAGGTTTGCAAAGGACAACCTTTTTTGAATTGGCTGTATACTATACTTGATGTAAGGTTATTTGATCATATCCACGTGCAAATTAGCGCTAAAGAAAAACACTTCAGTATAAAAGATATTGTTAAAAATAATATAAGTTCATTTAGTTAATAAAGATAAACATTTACGAAAGGTAAAAGTGCATACTAGAACAAAACCGACACAGTCAGATTAAGGACAAATTAAGTACGTGGAAGACAATATGTCCTTCTTGTAGGTCTATTCTATTGACAGCCCTTCCTGTTGTTAGTTAATAAGAGGCGAAGGTGTGTTACTGAGGCCCCCTTTACACGAGCCCGGGTTGACCATCAACCCGGGTTGGCTTGCCAGCCCGGGTCAACCCGTCTACGAATAAATCTCTATTAGCGTTTACACGATAGCCGGGTCAACCTTTCACACCTCGCCAACCCGGCCCCGGGGCACCCTT